GTGTGTGTGTGTGTGTGTGTTATGGGGAGATGACATGAAACGGTTGCCCTCCCGTTCTTTCATCTTCTTCAGTGCAGTGGTCTGGCCTGGCAGGGGTCCTGTGGTTACCAGTCCCTGCAAAATAAACCTGGACACAACCACTGGAAGGCAGAGAGAGAGAGAGGTTGATAGAGCATTGGTGGGGGAAAGAAAAGAACAGGAGAAAGAAAAATGAAATAGAAGAATTTGGGTTAAACAGATGAGTCGGTTAGTAGAGCACATATTTCCACCAAGGCCCTCCAGTCCCCTTTAATTCAATCAAGCTGCACCAGATTGAAGACTCTCAGATAAAAGTCCCCAAATTATTTTTTATTAACATTCATGATTTATTGCCTGGGACACTGGGAAAAATGTCATGAATATTTCCTCAAAAATCTCACAACGTTAAAGAAAGTCGTAGCATAGTTCAGCTGAAAAACAATGAAACAAACTACTAATACATAATCCTAATAACTTGTTTTCAACATAAAGACATTTGCAGGAGAAAAGTTTAGAGGACAGTACATTTTTAATCCGGGGTAAATGAAAAAGTTAAAACGCACTCAGTTTTATGGGCACACGTGACCTCAGTACCTCTCCTCAGTACAAGCAGGACTTAGGGCCGCCTCATCTTGTCTGTGTGTGTTTGTCTTTAAATTAAATGTGTGTGTTTTATACAGTAGTTTTTATACAGTGTTTATATTCATTACCCTGTTACATCTCTCCAGGTACCAACAGTCGACACGTGGACCTGAAGCTGAAGAAGCTGGTGGACGTCAGCCCGAGAGGAGTCACCTCCCCTTCATCCCCGTCCTCCACCTCCTCATCATCCTCACCCTCTGCCTCCTCCACCTCTCCACTCAGCCCTGCAGAAGGACCGGAGGTACGTACACTATCCACCCACCCAAAAACATTTACCTGTATATCTTTCTTTCCTTCTTTCCCTCTTTCTCTATATCCCTCTCTTCTTTTATCCATCTGCCTCTCTTTCTGTTCCCTCCCACTCCCTTCCTCCCCTCCTCTCCACACCATCAAAGGGTCAGTCCAATCAATCAGGTCCGATTGACCCTGTTGTCAACTAGCTGACCCTGTGTACACATCAGTTAGTCGGACCACTTCATGTGAGACTATAGTTTATCCCTCTTGTGTCCATATGAGTCTGTCTAAAGCCATGACACACACACACAGTGGCATCATAATGCTCTACATAACGTGTGAGCAGTCCCCTCTATTGACTATGACCTTTTCACACAGTTGTCGTGTGTCTGGATCGGTGGGGGAAGGAGGGGAGCGGGGATGTTACTGCTGCTGCATGTGTCTATACCTTCTGATGTGAATATTGAGCCAACAACGCAGCCGTCCAGTCTTAACATCTGGTTAATTGATTTTGAATGTCAAGTGGAATAAAGTGAGTGTGTGCGTGTGTGTGTGTGTGTGCGCGTGTGTGTGTGGTTGTCAGTACAAGCAGAAACCCTCTGCGCTTATGGCAGCACAGGGTGTCTTTGATCATCAATTCACATAAACACCCTCTTGTGTTCAAAGCCTAAAAGGCTTAGTCCTTTATGGCCAAAAGAGTGTGTATGTGTGCGTGTGTTACCACTTGACCCTCACAGACATAGAATTGACAACTGGTTGACGCTTGTTTGTTTTTTCTGTTTGGAATAATGTCACTATTAGTTAATCAACTACATCATCTAATCAACCTGTGTATAAAACAGTATATCTGCTGTTACAAAAGAAGTCTCTCTTTATCACACTATTTCCTTTTGTTGAAAGCTTTACATCCACACAAGGACTAACTTTTAAATAACATTTTAAACTATTGCTTAATGCAATCTTGAGCCATCAAAAAATCATACACTGTCTTGTCCCAGGAGGATTGGACATCTTAAAAGTCCTTCAGGCAGGTGGAACGACCTGCAGCAACATCACACACACGCACACACACTCTCCCTCTCATTAGCAATTGTGTGTATGCGCAGCCTCGGTGGTGGACGATAAGGGCATGCGACGCTCAGCAGACTGCAACATTAGTCACGCAGCACCCTGCATGCACATTCACAGACTCACACACACACACACACACACACACACACACAGCAAAAGCACTGAATCACTGCTGCCACCGCTTACCACAGCGATGAGAGCAGCGATAAGAGAAAAAGAGAGTAAGATGGGAGGAAGGATGGAGGGGAGCCAAGTGGGCAGGTGTTGTGTATGGGGGAGTGCATGTTTGTAAGAGACAGATAGACTGACACAGACACTGTCCAGTTAGTTTTTAAGAAAGTGTGTGGGAAGGCGTTGGTCATCATTTTGTTGTGTTCATGTGTGCTGTTCACCAAAGTCTAGTTGTAATGTTACAGTAGTTTAACTTCCTGTAGCTGTTTAACCTCTCGTCCATTGAACGAGTCAGATACTCAACAGTTAAACAATAACTGATAATTGGGTCGACAGCCTCAGTGCCCTAATCAGTCTCCTCAGGGATTTAAGCCTTTGTTAAATTAACAGTTCACTGTCGACATTGCAAAGGTTTGCAGTTCTTCCCGGTCAATAAACTTTAAAAAAAAAAGAAAAAATACCAAATCCTCATCATGAAATATGACAGGAACAGCAACATTAATCCAATAAATCCTTTGACATCCAATTATCAGTGATTGTTACACTTTTCCTACAAACAAACATACTAAATATTCATAAAATCAGCCACTTGATGGATCTGTGTCCACCGCAACTTATTGTACAGAAGTGCTAATTTGTTAAATGGGTAATTAGGTGGCATTGAAGTTGCTCTGCCCATGTGATAACTAGTTACACACACAATTTTAGACTTTTTAAATATTACAGTTTGTGTTTATTAAAAATGTTAAAGTAAGTCAGTGTGTATCCTCATAACCCAGAGTTTTCATTTAATCTCTGTGACAGATGATGAACAGCACATTAAAAAGGTTAAACTAAGGCCAGAGAGATATTTGATGCATTTCAAGTTATCGCAGCCACTATGTCATCATGACTTAGGCAGAGCGTCCGATTCAAACAGAGCAAGCACACTCAATGTAATAAAAAAGAAAAGTGTCGTGACATAGTCTACATACATGTTAGAAAAGTTCCAAAGGTCAACGATCACATGACCTGTATAATAAATAATTATTTAATTTGTCTTTTTAAATAATGACTTTTAAATTTACCCTCTGCTCTTCCAGATTGTCTCGGTGCAGGTTGACACACACACAAACAGAAATACTTTCCTAAATCCCAGCTCTCACTTTATAATTTTAAATGTTTAATTGGGCATTTTGTACACAACACCTCATAAATAATTTTGCCTCAATTTGACTTGACGTAAGGTTTTAAGTGGCTGGTAGAATCTGACAGACTAATAGACTAAACAAAGCGAGAACAGACTAATTGCTGACATTGTTTTTGAAAGTCAATAATCTGAAGCTAAACTAACAACTCCCCGTCTACAGCTTGTTCCACACCCACACTGTCTCTATTAGTCATCCCCGCTCTGCTTGACTATCTCCCTCTGTCTCAAGCAGTGGAACATGTTTGCCCTAATTGTCGACTTTATTACACGTTTCGCCGTCTTATTAACGTTGCCACAACGTCAATCTTAGCCCGAGTCGGTTTCTTTTCCACTCGGGTTGGCATATTTGGAGGCCTGGTAATAAAACATTCCTGCACGCCGTTTTTTGATAGTGGGAGAAGCAAGCGTGTAGCTTTTTAACACATGTTCACTTTGAAAACAATAGCGTTTTTTTTGCATTTTGCATAATCTGAATATATTTTCTGGCTCTGGGTTTGTTGAAAGTCAAGTTAATTGCCTCCTTTTTGTCTCTCTCATGAGCGTGCGTGTGAGTGTGTGTTCATGAATGTAGCTAATATATCAACCTCTACCAGATTTATCTTGTGGCCTTTCAGTAGGTGCGTTTGCACACAATATGTTTGTGTGTGCATTAGTGTGTGCATGTTTGGTCACAATAATCAAGAGCAGCTGTGAAATCCTGAATCAGCTCCATAATAAAAGCTTGAGAACAGATCTAAGTGGCTGGTCGAAGCTCACAGAATAAAAGATTAGATGCAGACCAAACTAATCTCTGGCATTGTTTTTTAAAGTCAATAATTTGAACAATTTTTTTGTAACAACAGAAAATTGCTTGTCGAGACTAAATGCACGTTTTTCTCTATCTTGACAGAATAACGCTGAGGAGTTACGAGCAGAGCGGCTGCGCAGGGCAACAGAAAGATTGCGTAGCCCTGTTGTCTTCAACAAGGACTCTGCAGTCCGCAAAACACAGCTGAAGTCCTTCAGCCAGTACGTGGAGAGCCGACCAGGTGAGTGACAATACAACACAAACACATATGCAGTGCACAAACAATGTACACACTATTTACCCAGGGAGGTTTGTGTGCACACAGCAACACTTCACATAACACACAGTTCACATGAGAGAGCAGGTAATTGGCAGAGACGTGCACAGACGATTTGAGGTTCTGAAAACACTGCATCATTACTCACCTGTTCACTGGCTGCTGCTTTGAAACCAGTATTAGGTAGAAACTCTTCCTTTTAACAAAAGACAACAATTTAACTCTCAAGTTTTTTGTTGTAACATGAGTATTTTCTAATTTCAATAACATTTATATGCAAGGACAGATCACTGACAACTAAGTAGAAATTCCTTAATGTGCATTTTACCTTTACTTTGACACACGTTCATCTGCTCATCCCTCCAGAGATGAAGAGGCAGAAGTCTGTTTCTGAGGATCTGAAGAAGGCTGAAGAGGACAGAGGTTCACCGACAGAGATTGATATTCGCAGACCATTTGAAGAAGAGGTTTGCTCCATTTTTTTTTCCCATTAAAAAAAAAGTCCCCCAAACATTAAACCTTACGACCAAGGTGAACCTGGTGCTAATGCTGGTTCGGAGATGGTTCTTGCAAACTTTTTAAGAACCGGTTTGCTTTACCCTGAGCTAGAGCCACATCATTATGTCAAAGTATTAGTCACTTTATGAGTCTCTGATTTCCCAGCAACACTATGGCCAACTGGTTCGACTTGAGGCACTGGCTCCGAACCATCCCTTCCTGGAGAAAAGGGTGCTACTGCAACGTGTGACATCAAAGTCTAAACTACGATGTCCTAGTACAACTACTTTTCGTGAAGCCTCAGCCTAATGAAGACTGTGTAACTGACAGATGATCAAGTCTTAAGAAAAATGGCAAAATAAATGGAGAGAGTTTAGGGGAGGTCAGAAGGTCTCGTCACCTTCTGGCCTTTTTTATTTCCTGCTCGTCAGCTCTCTCTCTCTCTGTCTCTGCTGTCTTGTCTTAGATAAATCTGTCAGAGAACTCGTCTCTCTGCTCCCTCGACTCTTAAATCTCCCTCCTCCTCTTCACCTTGTCCACCTCTCACACGCTCACACTCTCCCGCTCTTCTCTGCAGAGACATCTAAGTATTGATCTAACAGGCTGCCATTTTAATTATAACAATGGTAGATATCTGCTGCTCTGCCATTTAGAGGTGTATGTGTGTGTAAGTTGTGTGCCTTCTTGTCCTTCAAGTGCGCACACACACACACACTCACACCCTCTGTACAGCCCATGTTAGAACTTCTGCATACAAAGCATGTGTCTCTATAAATGCTATTATTTCAGTGAGTGTGTGTGTGTGTGTGTGTGAGTGTGTGTTCTGCTGGAGACCAAGGGGTGAATCTCTCCTCCCAAGCAGCCATCTCCTACCCTCGACCCTGCACCCTCCACCCCGGTCCCATGCGCACACACACTCTCATACACACCCTCCTCCTCCCAGTGCCTGGGCCCCAGGGTTAATGGGTGTTCAACCTTTCCATTATCCCGATCAGCCAAGAATTACCTGCTGAATGATGTTTGCATTAATATAATATATATGGTAATTTCCCTCCTCTTAATTACGGCTGGGCTGAGCGCGGCAAGGGGAGTGGGCTGATCATGTGTAAAATTGATTTGCCCAGGAAAAATATGGTGATAGAGCGAGAGCGCACAAGGAGGGGGAGGACGAGGAGGGTGTTGGAGGGGAGCGGAGGGGCTGCTGGGAATCAACGCGCACATACACACACTTGCACAAATCACATGTGCACAGAGTTGCACAGATGCACATACTCACACACTGGAAAGAGTACAGAGAAAAGTGCTGGCCTGGGTGGAATAAAAACTTTCTCCTGCTCACTAGTTCCTCTTCCCATTAAGAAAAAACGAAGTGCATCAGCAATAAAATGGAGATATTTTTCGGATGCATCCTCAGTAGTGAATTTGAATAAACATTTTCCTCACTCACAGGAGCATCTCTGGGGAATAGCAAGTAGCCGAGAGACAGAGGTGACCAGGGGTCTGAAATGAAGAGTGTATTAAGTGCTTACTTTACAGAGTGATGTGTGTCCAAGTATGTTGAGGAATGGAGTGGCTGAATGTAAGGCTTACTTAAATGACTACGGAGACATTTAACATACACAACATGAGAGATTGTTCAGATGTGACTCCTTTACCTCTCCCTCACTTCATTGTTATTCTTATTGTTTTATTATTAATATTGGAGGATTCATATCTATTAATTTCCTTAATTACACAAATAGTTGAAGTAAACAGACGACACACACAACAGATTTTATCTGAGTTGGAGGAAACCCATTTTGCATTCTGAGGTGTTACCTTGATATTTTTGTGTGAATATTCACTTGAATATGTCTTCGTTCACATTCCTCAGATTTAGAGCTTTGCTGCTCTTTAAAGAAACAATAAAACTACGCAGCTATAAAGTGGTTTTGAATATGTGAGAAGGAATTCAGGGAGGAGGCTCAGACAAAACAAGAGACAGCAACAGTTTGTCTCTGACTGTTTTTGTTACTTGTCCTGAAATTAAACTCTTTACTGGGCAAATTCTCTTTTTTGTCTTATGTTGGGAAAAATGTTGCTCGGACATTTTCACCCTCCTCTGCTTCATTTCTTCTCTCGTCATTTCTTTTTCATTCTCATCCGTTATTTCTTCAATACCTTCATCACCCTTTTGCTTTACATTCCATCTCTGTATTTCTCTATACTCCCAACTCCCAGTATTCTGTTTCATCCCTCCATCCCTTTTTTCTCTGTTTAATGCTATATCGCACTACTCCTCCTTTTCTCTCATAACCGTTCTCTCCCTCCCTCTCTCTCTTTCTCCCTCTCTCACACACTCTCTCTCTCTCTCTGGTTGACAGAAGGCGTTCAAAGACACCAGTCAGTATGTGGTTGGGGAGCTGTCTGCACTGGAGAGCGAGCAGAGGCACATAGACGCCCGAGCTGCTCGCGTGGAGAAGAGGCTGCGCTATCTCATGGACACAGGTACCCCAAGCCCAATTACACTGGAAAAACAGTTTTGGCAAATTGAGCGTACGCACGCACATACACATGCATGTACACTTGGGGAGTTTGTGTGTGTGTGTGTGTGTGTGTGTTTATGTGTGTGTTTTTGTGAGAGAGAGAGAATCTTTGAAGCCCCCCACCCCTCGCTCTCACTCCCTTCCTCCCTCTCGGTTGAATGTTGAGCGACGGAGCGCTGGGTGGATATGAAAGGAGGGGATGGAGGGGGGGGTGTGGAGAAGGGAGGGGAAGGATGGGTGGGGAGGGTGGTAGAGGGGAGTGTGTCTCGGGGATGGGAGAAGAAGGGAGACCTCTCTGGGCTGGGGTGATAAGGGAGCCCTTCATGGGGGAAACGATAACTGGGTGCGATAGCGGAGCCCCAGCTGAAGTCTCCGCTGCAGCCGTTTGCCAGCCGCGGCCCCAGCCAGCCAGCCAACCAACCTCCACACTATTGAACAGTGCGCTCAGCCATGCACAGCCACACACACACACACACACACACACACACACACACACACACACACACACACACACACACACCCTCACCCTCCTTCCCCTAGTACATATCTGGCCTTCATTGATATGCTGTATAAGGAAAGACGGGGGTGAGTTAAAGGGAGGAGAGGGAGAAGCAAAGAAATGTTTAAAAAAAAAAAAAAAAAATGAGGCAACACAACATGAGCACTGACACAGTTCACAAATCCACAACAGACACACACAAACGCTTACACACCCGTGCATACAAAGTGCAATCTGGTTTGGCGTACAGAGCCGGATTCGGAAGGTTTTTATTTAAGATTTGGCTGGGGGTAAAGCCTTGTTAAGACATGAGACAGAGTGCAGAGCCAAAAAGAGGGGCCTTGGCTCCGTTAAGTCCCTAACTGAAATTGGAGAATAGCATCCCGTTCCTAACCCAAGAATGCTGTTGGAAAAAAAAAAGAAAATACATGGTCCCAAGAAGTGTTAAATGTTTGCAAATGTCCTGAAAGTGTAGGTGCAGTATTTCCTGTAGTAATTTAGTAGCAGCTGTCATGCTCTTTCTGATATATCAGCACCTAACGTGGTGGATTTATCCCCCAAAATCCTGAAAGAGCAACACAGGGGAGGATATGGAGGTTTTTAGAAAAGAAAACTGGGGCGGTGGGATTTGCGCTCACCTTCTCCATCCCATTTGGGTGCTGATATCGAGACTATCTCTCCTCTGTTTGTTGTGTTTGCTTTCCTTCTTTTTTTTTTTGCCTGCCTCCCTGCCTCTGTGCCCTCTTCCCCTGTCGGAGCACATGCCATTGTGTCAATCTGAAGGGCTTTTTTTTTTTTCTCCTTCTTCTTCACCCACTGATAAAGCAGGTGCTAGCCAGCAAGACGCCAGGCTATTTACCTCCAAACACTTTCAACCATAAAGATTTCTCTTCACATATATATATATATATATATATATACACACACACACACACACACACACCTACCTGTGGTCCCAAGTAAAATGTGATTCACCTGAAAAGAAGGAGGTTGACAACAGCGAAGGCGAGGACAAAATGAATGATATCAAAAAAAAGACATTCACCTTCGTCCTTTATGTTATAAGGGAGTGAGAAATGAAATTGAGAAAATGTGGTTTCCACTCGTCAACACAATGACTTCTGCCGTATGTAGCATAACATGTGTACTTTGTGGGTTATGTCGTATGCGTTGTATGTGTTTCACATTCTTTCAGTGAATATCATCAACAGGGGCACTCAGACAGCGTTGACCTTGGTTCTCCAACAGTCCCCTTATAAAATCACATTTAAATTCACTCAATACATATTTTTAAGGATCTTCACCAAATTGCACACGTTTGTAAATATCAATCACTTATCTCACAATGTTAATGAAAGTGAAAACTAAATCTTGCATCAGTCCCCTCATCCCTACCACATCCTTCCACCCAGTGGTAATGCGTCCAGGAGATATTGTGTAATCCTGTTAACTAAAATACAAAAAAACAGAAAAACAACGCAGACATAAAACATAACCTTCTTGGCGGAGGTGATTGGCACATTAGGGCCATGTTTGCCTGTAAGGCATCAGTATTTATGAAACTTCTTCCACTATGGCACCGACAATTTTTGCCTCATGGTGTTGAGCACATTTCTCACTTCCCGAAAGTGTTTCTATATCTCATTTTGCAGCACTTATCCCAGAGACTCGTCCAATACTTTATGGATTGTGCCTTTAGGCCTTAAGGTCTGGAGGCATCAGAGCGAGATGTGCCAGTGACAGGTGGTCACTAAAGTAACCTTTATCACCTCAGTGGCTGAGGTCACCTTTCTATACGCTGTCATAGATGATAGAGATTTTTTTCTCTGAACCCTGGATGTCTGTTTGAAGTTGTGTCTGATTGGCTGTTCCAGTATTGATCCATCACATCTGACTGGTGCCAGTACTTTACTAGGGGACATTGTGAGAAATGACCACCAGCTACTCCTCCCTCATGTTAAAAAGCCTGCCAGTGACTGGAGGTCATCTACTCAGATGTCCTAGTTGAATTGTAGACTTACAAAGTCCAGAAAACTTCACAGAATTTTGATTTATTCAAATCTTGATCATCACTTTCTTTGACTACCAACATCTTCTATTTAAGTTGGATTGGTTGTAAATCAGCCTGATGAAATAAAACTTCCATATAAATCACTGTATAAAAACTTGCTTTATTTTAGACAGTTCACATATGTTTGTCAAATAATGAATATTGATAAAAAGACCTTTTTCTACATAGATGTGTTTGCATTTGTACAGTGACGTCTTTGAGGTCTCAGACTTTTCTAGTTTATCTCGGGCTGGAATTTCGTGTGAGAACCAGACAAGAGACCAGACCAAACACAGACTAAAAGGCTTTGAATAGTTAAATTCCGAACAGCAGACTTTCCAAACTTAAGGCACAACGTCTCAGCTTCACCTGATTCTCAGAACTGGGGCTACTTGTCCACAAGTGTCACAATTCAGCAGAAAAAGAGCTCAACTTCCAAGTTGTGACTCTCATTATCCAACCCTCTGTCTCATTGAAACACTATTTGTCAGAGGAAATTTGATAGAGCATGCAGGCACCCTGGTTCATATTCAAACAGTCCTTCAAAGAGCAGCCTTGGTTTTACTGATGTTTCTCCAAGCCAGGCTGTCATCACCTTCAGACGTCTGTCTCAAGTTAAAATAAACACCTCTCTCCCAAGGTACTGTCAAATTTGACATATTAATCAAGTGGATCTTTTCGTTCTAAAGAAAAATAAATAATGTGACACACAAGTTTTTTAATAAAACTTGAGTTGTGGTGATCTGAATGATCTCAGATGTAGATAATATAAAAGGCTTTAAGAGGAGCAGTAGAGTCTAGATGTCACATAGTTAGAAGAAAGGAGGTAATTATCTAATGAAGATATTTTTTTGTGTGCTTCAGATGTATCCATGTTTTTATTAAAGTGAATGTGTGTACGCGGTTTGGCCTTAGGTGCAGAGCAGACTTTTCTGAGTGGGGTGGATGTGCAGAGTCTTGGTAGTGGTGCATATGATCATATGATTCCGACCTGTTGAGGTATGTTTGGGTGAGCTCAGTGTGCTGCGGTGCTCTGGTCGTGCACAGCGCTGCAGGACTGATGTGCAGATGTGAACAGACAGACCGACTGACCCATGACTGATTGTTCATCTCTCTGCTCCACCAGCAGAAAGCCTGGGAAGATCCACTGTGCTCTGCTGGTCCTCAACACGCCTTTTCTTTCATATCACATGCTTTTGCTTTGTCATTCCAGCAACCTCTTCTTCCTCCCCCCATCTCTATTTACTCTGGTTGTCTTGGTCTTTGTTTCCCTCAAGGAATCAGCTCTTTAATCATCTTATTCATTTATTCTCCTTCTTTTAAGTAACTTATCCTGGCACTTTTTCTGCTCACTTTTTTTTCTCTTTCATTTATGCCTCACTGTGTCTTTCTCCCTCCTCTCTGCTTCTCTGCATCTTTCTTATTTCCTCTCTTCCCCTTTATCCCTGTGAATCTCTATGTCTCCCTCCCTTCTCTCGCCCTCGCTCTCCCTTGTCTCCCTCTGCTTTCACACCCGCCCCCTCTCTCCCTTGGTTTGGGCACAATGCAGCTTTCTGCAGCATTTTCTATTACGCCACGGCCCTCCCCAGATGAATCCAAAGTAATTGGGGTGGTTAATTTATTTACTCAGAGGCAGTTCACAGCACATTAAATAATAGAGATAATTGAACAAGAATTGTCAAGTGTCTTCTGATATCAGACACATTACAGGAGGGAGTGTGCATAAAACTCCATTTCTATGCCCCCATTGTTTATGGTAATTAAGTACACAGATTTATTCCTTGGTTGCCTTCCAAGCTTATGGCAAGCGCCATTGTTGTCTTCTATTAATATGTAATCAGTAAATAGTTTAATTTTCTAATCTGCGGTTGGAGAATTCACTTTCTAACAACTCTTAATTACTGCTGGGCTCTAATGAGTCTCGCCATGCTGACGCAGCCAGCCAATCAGAGGCCAGGCCCGAGTCGGGGGGGAATTTGAATTCCTGCGACGCCCCCCCTCGACTAATGAACTTGTTATTCTTGCACCACTGGGAGCACTGTCCTTCACACTCACAACATTAGGAGAACATTCACGTCCTGCAACAGACTTTATATACCAGAGTTTATTGATTTCATGGGAAGATTATCAGCACATTAAACAGAGGCTGAGTATTCAAACATATATATCATTCATAATGATAATATTTTTAATTTACAGAAATGTATGAATCTTTTTTGGAAGTATCTGTACAACCTTTATATACAGTGCTCAAGGAAAAGATTGATTTATTTCTATTCAGATTTTTAGTAGAATTAAGAGACCATTCATCATTTCTATGTTTCCACTGATACATGAAATGCGTCTGACCTTGGCATTGTTATTTTTCTAAAGGTATTGTAGCACAGAAAAACATATCAAATTCTCCTTATTG